AACGGGGCCCGGAGCCCCCGCGCTTTGTTTTCCCAAGTAGCTCGGGGGAGGAAAACAGGAGCGCGAGGAGTGTCCTGGGAAGCGCATGCCAGGCGAGCCCCATAAACACACGCTTAGGCCAAGGTATAATTTCCTTGGCTAGAAATGCTTTAAGCGCAGTTTTGACCAGTTTTCTTTTTGGTAATGACCTTATGCAAATACCTTATGTTAAATTAATTAAAATTCTTTTTTTGGCTTTTTTTTTTCTTTCCAGTACTATGAAATGTCATATGGTTTGAATATTGAAATGCACAAACAGGTGAGTAATTTGAAGGGGGGGAATTCTGATTGATCTCCTGTTGCCCTTTTCTCAACCCGAGAAAAATTAGATCCTGATTGCAGTAAATGGGGAATAAGTGCTGGAGTCAGGGATGTGACTCCAGGTTAGATCTCTCGGCCCAGGAGCTGTATTTGGAGCAGTAACTTTATGGCAGGCGGTGGTGTATTTTTTTGTATATATTCAGGAGAAACTTGGGTTTGGAAAAATAGGAGATGAAAATAGCATGGACTTGCATCCTGGGGGATCTGTACCTGGATTAGAATGTTCTTGCGTTTGACAAACACTCTTATCTGGTGCCTTTTCCTGCGGCTTTGTTTTTGGTACAACTTGGCTGTTTTTAAGGTCATACCTCTGATACCTCCCGCACTGTAGCGTGAGACTTAGGAGGGAATTATCTTCTAGGATAGCCGTGTCTAATGGTGTGTTGCTCAATGTCATGCATTTGTCTTTGCATCTGGAAAATGAAGCAATGTTTGTTACTTCATTTTTTTTTCCTCCTCTCCTGTCTGCTCTAATGTATAACTTGCCTGAAGGAAAAATGTAGAGGACTAGAGCAGAATGTGGTGTGCTACCTTGATAAGATTATAGCTAAAGAGCCTAAAGGCTGGGCACATGATGGTAAAACTTAAAGGAATAAAGTTATTATTGAGATTAGACCTGATTATTTGTGCTGCTGCTGCTTACTGGTTTTAGAAGTAGTTCTAATTAAGAACTTAAGGCAGCTCTAAGTTGACATCAACTTTACAATTCAGCAGGCAGCCCTGTTGGGCTCCCCAGTGTTTTTTCATAAGAGCAGCATGGCTCGTCCTGAGCAAGGAAGTGTTATTTGCAGGCTGATTCCATTCAAAGCAGCCTGTCTGCGCGCCAGGCTCTCTCCGCACGCGGTTCTCCTCGGCTTTCTGGTGCATATCCACCGAGTCACAAAAATAATTACCGCTTAGTCTTCGCTTTTTTTAAAGCGTCTTCTCCCATGCAGATAATCCCGCCTGCTTTCTCCTCATTGCTTCTGCCTGCACAAAAGTGTCCTTGTCTCGTCCCCGTCCCGCGGGGCCTTTGTGCAGGCCGCGAGCGTCCTGGGGTGGCCAGAAATATTCCCGAAGGCCGGATCTGCGCTTAGGCCCTTCCGCGTGGGGCCGCGGGCATCCGAAGGGAAGCGCGGCCTGCGATCCCTGCTGAGGGGCTGGAGTAAAGCAGTGCTGAAGGCCGTTTTCCCATCGGGAATGCGTTTTATCCCTGGTTGCGCGGGGCCGCTCCGTGTGCGTGCGGAGAGGTAGCAAAATAATTGTGCAAAATGCCGGGTTTCTCCTCGGGACGGAAGCTTTGGAAGCTGCGGCGTTTGCCGAGGAGCGGCGCGCGTTTCGCTCCGGTGAAAGGCTGCGAGCAAAAGCTCTTCCAAGAGCGTTTCCCAGAGCGGCAGGGCCCCTTGTGCCATTTCCACGAGCGCGTGGGCCGGTCCGTGTTGCGCTCCGTGGGGCGGCCGCCGTGGGGCACGCGGCGGGGGCGGTTTCGGAGGGAACCAGGAAGCCGATGCCAATGCTTCGAGGCGCGCGGTGCCCGGGAAAACAAAGCAGCCGGAGCGCCGGGATCCCGCGCGCGCCGCCGCAGCCTCGTCAACGCGTCCGCTGCTAATTGCAGCCGGGTCCTGGGTGCATCTGGTTGAGGGTGGCTCGTCCTGAACAAACAAGTTTATCAGCTGACCTGTTTAGCGGTTGACTTGTGTTTATCTGCACACAATCAAGTAGACTGAAGTGCTTGAATTATTCATGCAGTGTCCTGCCCTCCAGACTTGACTGCTTGTGATTACATCTGCTTGAGACAAACATTGATGGATACTTCATCTTTAAGCAAAAGGGGATTGTCTGTCTGTAGGCTTATATAACAGATTATCTCTTCTACGCTGAATATTAAGTGTGCGCATATGTGTCCGCGCGCATTCCTCCCTTTATTCTCATTTCGCTGCTTGTTAAATGAAAAATGGAGTTTCATAAACAGCTCCATATGCAAGGAAATATTTAGGAAGTGACTACCCGCTTTGTTGCCTATAACGCAGTGAATTGCTCCTTGCATCTGACGCTCTCTGGTGAATAAAACACTGTTATCCAAGCCCGGCTTTCTTAAACGAGGCCTGTGCTTTTTTTTTTTTTTTTTCCTTAACTTGAATGAAACCCTTTTTTAAGGTTAATTGATTTTACAAAGAAACTTTCTTTCCCATGTTGTTTTGCATTGTTTTTATCCAGATCTTTCTAGATAATCGCAAAATGCAGCCGATTGGAGTAATCATTCCAAAAGAAAAACTAATTTCAGGTCGGGAAACAAGACACCTTGGAGGAGGGAACCTTTGTTCCGGCCTCTTTTTTTGTTGTTATGCCTGAGAACTCTCCACATAAGCACTTCTGGGATTTTTTTTTTATTATGTTTAAACACTTAATGCTTTGGAACAAATTTAAGCCCTACTGACACTTGCATGAGAAAAGCAGCCTGCTTTTTCTTTCTATTTTTTTTTTTTTCTTTCCAGACTATTCCAAGAACACAATATACTTTGTGTTGTGTTCCTTAGCGAGGAGTGCCAGGTAATAATTTGCTAAACGCTCCAGAAGCCAAGTCATTTGTTCCTGCGATGCTCCCGGCCCTCTCGGGTGCAAAGGGGCGCCCGGGGGGCAGTTTGGGTGCCCGGGGGGCAGTTTGGGTGCCCGGGGGCGCCCGGCCGGGCCCCACGGAGCCCCGGGGCTGCCCACGGGGCCCGGGCGCCTCCGGCTGCCGCTAATTCCGTAATGGGGCCGGGGCCGCCCCTCCACACCCCCTCCCCGAATTTAATTCTCATCAGCGCAGCTCTCCACTTTGCTAATAACGATAGCAGCCGCAAATAGCTTTCAACATGCCATTGACAGCCTGGTTGGAGAGAGCACTTGAAATAGTGGTAGACAGCTGAAAGTGCCCATAATTGTGTGCCGGAGTGAGAACCACACTGCTCAAGGGCCTTATTTTCATGTGCTTAAAGAGACAATATCCTGGTTTCAACAAATGCTCCTGGTGCTCCACCGGTGGTGTGATTTACTGCTCTCCTTCCTCCTCCTCCTCCTCCTCCTCGCCCCTCTTTGCTGGGCTCCGTGGGGCTTTGTGGTGGGGAGGGCAGCGCGCAGGAGCTGCCGGTTCCGTACGGAGCTGCCGGTTCCGTACGGAGCCGCTGGTTCCATACGGAGCCGCGCGGCCTCTTCCTGGCTCCTTCCCGGCTCCTTCCCGCTATCCCGCAGCTTTGTCCGCACAGGAAGGGTCTCCGGGAGGCTCCCGCAGAGGAGCCCAGGGGCTCAGCCCGTGTCCCGCTCTTTATCCCACGCCGTTTCCATCCGGAAGCGCGGGTTGGGATTCTGGGGCTGGCATTTACCCCAGTGCAACCCCAACCCCGCTGCCCCAGCGGCAGCCCCATTGGGAAGGGTTTTATCCCTGTCCTAAGGCCATCCTCGCGTTTTGCCGCGGTGGCCCTAGGGATGCCCAGGGGACACGGTGGCACCGCGGGGCTGCGGCTCCCCCCCGTCCCCCTCTGGG